CTGCACGGGGCCGCTGGCCAGGGCCCTGGGGACCAGCCTGGCCGGCCTCTCCCCGAGTCATCACCCAGCGTCCGGCTGGGGCCTCGGGGAATGAGGTCCGAGCCTCCGGTGCAGCTGGGACGCCGCCGGCGACGGGGCGGGAACGCGCGTCCTGGTCCTGGCACGTGAGGAATGACGGGCGCGGTGAACCCAGCACCGAACAGATAAAGGAGACGGGGGGGGGGGGGGGGGGGGGGGGGGGGTCAGCTCGCACGCCTTCCACGCCCCTGCCCACGTCACCCCCGCGCTGAGCCGGATGCCACCCCGATTCTCCGCAGGGAGGCCGGGCTGAGAGACCGAGAGAGAAACAAACAGCGACCGGCTGCCTCCCGTACGCCCCCCCCCCCCCCACCAGGAGCTGAACCGTGACCGTTCGGCCGACAGGCTCCAACCAACCGAGCCCCAGCGGCCAGGGCCGGCACCTCCCTCCTTTTAGCGACAGCCCCCCCCCCCCCCCCCCCCCCGCCCATGGCCGGCAGGGCAGCCCCTCCCCCCGGCCCGCGGGTCCCAGGCCCCGAGCGGAGAGGCTGCCCGCACACCTTTCAGGGCATCCGGCCACTGGGTGGGGGCCGGGCTGCGGGCTGAGGGGCCGGGGACGCACAGAGGAAGGCACTGTGCTCTGCTGTCATTCAAGCCCAGAGCCGCCCATTCACCCTTGTCGTCACCGGGAGAGTCTGCCTGAGAAGGAGCCCCGCCCGGGAGGGTGGAGCGTGCACCCCAAGAACTGAAAGCGGGGTCCCCAAAGAGGTATCTGCGATCCCACGTTCCCGACAGCATCACTCACAGCGGCCAAGGCACGGAGGGCACCCCAGTGCCCACGGATAGGGGAACGGCTGAAGGAAAGGCGGTCGGGGCCCGGGGTGGAATATTACGCGGCCCTGAAAAAGGAGGAGACGCTCGCCTTTGCTGTGACACCGATGAGCTTCCCTGCCCTTCCGCTCAGGGACGTGAGCCATCACAGAAAGACAGGTCCCGTGAGATTCCAGTGACACGGGAGACGGAAAGCAGCCGGACTCCAGGGAGCGGAGGACAGAGGGGTGGGGGCCAGGGAGACAGGGGTCGGTGCGTAAATGTATAACGTCCCCGTTTTCAGAATGAACACGGTCTAGAGACTGAGCCGCAGCCCTGTGCCTACAGCTAACGAGTCAGTAACGCTCACTTACAACGTGTTAAGAGGACAAAGACCTCGAAAGAAAGGAAGGAAGGAGGAAGGGAGGAGGAAGGAAGGAGGAAGGGAGGAAGGAAAAGGGAGGGAGGAGGAAGGAGGAAGGAAGGGAGGAAGAAAAAGGGAGGGAAGGAGGAAAAAAGAGGAAGAAAAGCCCTGGCTGGTGTTGCTCAGTGGATAGCGCGTCGGCCTGCGGACTGATGGGTCCCGGGTTCGATTCCGGTCGAGGGCACAGGCCCCGGTTGCGGGCTCGATTCCCCAGTAGGAAGCGTGCAGGAGGCAGCCGGTCCATGATTCTCTCTCATCATGGATGTTTATCTCTCTCTCTCTCCCCCTTCCTCTCTGACATCAATAAAAATCTATCATGAAAGGGTAATATGCTAATTAGACCAGACATCTTCTCGACGTCCTTCCGGACAAAGCCACAGTGGCAGGGGCTGAGGCGGTTAGGGGGCGATCAGGCCGGCAGGGGAGGGCAGTTAGGGGCGCTCAGGCCGGCAGGGGAGGGCAGTTAGGGGGATCAGGCTGGCAGGGGAGCAGTTAAGGGGCAATCAGGCCAGCAGGGGAGAGCAGTTAGGGGGCGATCAGGCTGGCAGGGAGAGCAGTTAGGGGGCGATCAGGCTGGCAGGGGAGGGCAGTTAGGGGCGATCAGGCCGGCAGGCAGGCGAGGGTTAGGAGCCAGCGGTCCCAGATTGCGAGAGGGTGCAGGTCGGGCTGAGGGACACCCCCTCCCCCTGCACCGCACAAATTTCATGCCCCGGGCCTCTAGTATTACAATAACAATAAAAGAGGCCCACAGGAACACAAGGAAATTTCTGGAGGTGCTGGCTCCATTTGCCCCTTGATTGTGGTGGGTCGCGCCCCCTTGTGGGGCCTGGAAGGAAAGACGCCCGGGACAGGAGGGTGTGAGGGACCCTCGTCCCCCCATCAAAGGCTTCAAGTCGTCTCTGAGGGGTTTTTAGTCCATGTTTTTAGGACGCGTTTTTAGGACCTGGCGGCCGGTTACGGAGCCCTGTTCTGAGCCCCAGCGAAACCCCGAAGTCCGTCCCGGAGGCAGCCTCGCTTCTGGGGGGGGGGCCCACATCGCGTCCCTGTGGCTCCGAGACAGGCCAGTCCTCCCTCCGCCCCGAGGACACGTCCCCCGTCCCCCGTCCCCCGTCCCCCTTGTCCTCCCAAGAGGAGCCGGCCTCGCTGCTCCCCGTCCACCGGCTCCGGCCGCCACGACCACCATCCCCCGTCCAGCGTCCACTCCCCGGACACCGCTGTCCGTGTGTGGGCCACGCTGCCTGCCCCTCCCCTCAGCCAGACACACGGCGAGTTCCCACGGACAGCAGTGCCCGCCGACCCCGGGAGCCGCTGAGCTAAGCCCTTGGCCGGAGCCTGCCGGCCCCCGACCATCCCTTCCCCGGCCACCCGCCCAGCTGGCCTCCCGACCGGACCTCCGGAACCCACATCCTGTGGGCGATGCAGACCGCGGGGCGCGAGCCAGCAGTTCCGGGGTGAGCTCACTTCCCCTCCCCCGCCCCCAGCCCCCTCCCCCAGCCCCCTCCCCCGCCCCCGCCCCCGCCCCCGCCCCCGCCCCCGCCCCCGCCCCGCCCCGTGTCTAACTCCGAAAGGCGTGGCCCCCGGGGGTCCACCTGGGCTTAACCAGGGCAGCCCAGGGCACCCTCTCCTCTGACTTATTGATTTATTTGCTTGTTTATTTTTAGATCAAGTGTATTTATTTATAGCCCTGGCTGGTGTGGCCCAGTGGGTAGAGCCTGGGCCTGCGCACGGAAGGGTCCCGGGTTCGAGTCCGGTCAAGGGCACGGACCTCAGCTGCAGGCTCCTCCCCGCCCAGCGTGGGGCGTGCAGGAGGCAGCCCATCATGTGTCTCTCGCACCCACGTTCCTGTCTGTCTCTCCCTCTCCCTTCCGCTCTCTCTAAAAATCGGTGGGAAAAACGTCCTCGGGGGAGGATTAAAAAAGGAAAAAAAGTATATTTATAAGCGTCAACGTTTTTTATTTTTTTAAATATATGCATTTACTGATTTCAGAGCGGAAGAGAGAGGGAGAGAAACATCCATGATGAGAGAGAATCAGGGACCGGCCGCCTCCTGCACGCCCCCCACTGGGGATCGAGCCCGCAACCCGGGCCTGTGCCCTGACCGGATCGAACCCGGGACCCGTCCGTCCGCAGGCCGACGCTCTATCCGCTGAGCCACACCGGCCGGGGCTACCAGCCCCTTTTCCTCACCAGCTCTGGGCTCTCACGTCTCAGTTCTGTACACTGTAGGTGTGTATGTGCGTGTGTGCGTGTGGGTTTAAATAACACGTATGTTACTCCAGCAGAACTGACTACATTTACATGCTTCCGTAGGGCGCCGAAACCGGTGTGGCTCAGTGGATAGAGCGTCGGCCTGCGGACTGAGGGGTCCCAGGTTCGATTCCGGGCAAGGGCATGTGCCTTGGCTGCGGGCACATCCCCAGTAGGAGATGTGCAGGAGGCAGCTGATCGATGTTTCTCTCCTGTCGATGTTTCTAACTCTCTATCCCTCTCCCTTCCTCTCTGTGAAAAATCAATAAAATATATTTTAAAAAAAAAATGCTTCCGTAGGGCTTGACTGGTGTGGCTCAGTGGTTGAGCACTGACCCAGGAACCAGGAGGTCAGGGTTCGATGCCGGTCAAGGGCACAGGCCTGGGTTGTAGGCTCGACCCCCAGTAAGGGGCGTGCAGGAGGCAGCCAATCCATTACTCTCTCTCATCATTGATGTCTCTCTCTCTCCCTCTCCCTTCGTCTCTGAAACCAATAAAAACATCTGTGTAAGAGCTTTGACCGTGAACTTCATCTTAGGCCCCTGAGGCTGGGGTATTACAATGCCTGGCACCAAGATCACAAACAGTCACCTACAGGGGCACAGACCTCATTACAGAGCATGCAGTTCCCGCTAACCTACAGCTACAGCGCCTCCCTGTGGCACCCGCCTCTAATTGCAGGTAAAGCGAGGGAGGGGAGAGTGATCTATCCTATCCCATATAATAAAAGCCTAGCATGCCAAGTGTCCGGTCGTCCGTTCAACCAACCAAAGCGTAATATGCTAACGATACACTAAGGCCGCTCAACCGCTTGCTATGACGTGCACTGACCACCAGGGGGCAGAAAGTCAACCGGTTGACCAGTCACTATGATGTGCACTGACCACCAGGGGGCAGAAAGTCGACCGGTTGACCAGTCACTATGATGTGCACTGACCACCAGGGGGCAGAAAGTCGACCGGTTGACCAGTCGCTATGATGTGCACTGACCACCAGGGGGCAGAAAGTCGACCGGTTGATCAGTCGCTATGACGTGCGCTGACCACCAAAAGGCAGACACTCTGAACAGTAGGTGAGCTTGCTGCTGGGGTCCGGCCGATCGGGACTGAGCGAGTGGGGCCGGACACGCCCTGGAGCCCTCCTGCGGTCCCTCCCCGGCCCCGATCGTGCACCGGTGGGGTCCCTCAGCCTGGCCTGCGCCTTCTCGCAACCCGGGACCCCTCGGGGGATGTCGGAGAGCCGGTTTCACCCCGATTCCGCAGGAAAGAGCGAGGGACCCCACTAATGCACGAATTCGTGCACCGGGCCTCTCATTAAAAATGAATGAAAATGAACGTCTGCAACACGACAGGGTCCATGAGCCCGTTACACAAGGCAAGTCAGAGACACGCCCCCACCTCCCGGCAGCTGCCTCTCACCTGCAGCTCCCGAAGCTGTTTCCTGAAAGAAGGCTGTGGCGAGGGTCCCACAGTCCCGCGGGGAGGCGGGGAGCCCCACTGACCTGTCATGGAGTTCTCCGAGGTGCACAGCTGCTCCCGCAGCTTCTCCACGTCGTCGGGGTGCACCTGCTCGTACAGGGTGCTGCCGAACCACTCGGACTGCGGCTGGTTCAGCACGGGCGTGACCGAGTCCGACACGTAGATCACCCGCCCCGTCTCGGCCGCCACCACGAACAGGAACCCGTCGGCCGCCTCCAGGATGAGGTGTTTCAGCTCCTGGGAAGGGAAGGCCGGCGTCAGGGAAAAGCAGGATCCCCCCCGACCCCGCCGCCAATCTGATTTTCCTCTTTTCTTTCTCTTTCACGGATTCGTATGGATCTCAGAGAGGAAGGGAGAGGGAGAGGGAGAGGAACATCCATGATGAAAGAGAATCATGGATCGGCCGCCTCCTGCACGCCCACACTGGGGATCGAGCCGGCAACCCGGGCAGGTGTCGTGACCGGGAGTCGAACCCTGACCTCCTGGTTCCTAGGTCGACGTTCAACCACTGAGCCACACTGGCTGCCGGGCCAAGGTCATCTTGCCTGGGACCCTCTGTAACACAGACGAAGGGCCCGCAGCCTGGGGCCCTGCCCAGCGTCCGTCCCCAAGGACTGGAACCTGTGGCCCTGCTGGTGAGGGCGCCTGGGGGGCTCCCTAAGGGTCCCTGCGCCCTGACGGGGTCAGACTCCGACACCCCCGCCTGGGAACGGGGGGCGGAAGTGGGCCTGGAAGGAGAGGGTTACTGGGCCCGTTTCCCCGGCTCCAGGCATCCGCCTCCTGTGTGTCCCGGACGCCGACATAACCCACAGCCCGGGGTCAGCATCTTTATTTCCAGCTTCGGGCCCATCCTCCCGGCAGGAAGGGGGGCGGACATCGGCACAGGGTGCCTGGGAAAGGAGCCGATCCGGCCGCCGGGGGAGGAGGCCGCCATTGAGGTCTCCCAGCCTCGGCCCGTGGGAAGGTCTCCGGGGACAGCGCCCCACGCTCAGAGGCCCCCACCCACCACCTCCTCCCCATTCCTGTCTCCCGGGAACAGGGCGCCCACGACCGAGGTCCTGCGCCCGGAAATCAGAACTGCCTTTGAACCCGGCCGGTGTGGCTCAGCGGCTAGAGCGTCGGCCTGCGGACTGAAGGGTCCGGGGTTCCATTCCGGTCAAGGCACAGGCCCGGGTTGCGGGCTCAATCCCAGTGGGGGGCGTGCAGGAGGCGGCCGATCAGCAATTCTCTCTCATCATGGATGTTTCTCTCTCTCTCCCTCTTCCTTCCTGAGATCAATAAAAACATATTTAATTTTTTATAAAAGCCATCAAACCCTGCCCAGGTAGCTCAGCTGATGACAGCGTTGTCCCAATGCATCAAGGTGGCAGCTTCGATCCCCAGTCAGAGCACATCCAGGACTCAACCAACGAACGTACAAATAAGGGAACAACAAAATCCGTCTCTCTCGCCCGGGCCAGTGTGGCTCAGTGGATAGAGCCTCGGCCTGCAGACGGAAGGGTCCCGGGTTCGATTCCGGTCAAGGGCATGGACCTTGGTTGCGGGCACATCCCCAGTGGGGGGCGTGCAGGAGGCAGCTGATCGATGTTTCTCTCTCATCAATGTTTCTAACTCTCTATCCCTCTCCCTTCCTCTCTGTGAAAAATCAATAAAATATATATTTTTAAAAATCCATCTCTCTCTCTCTCTCAAGTCAATAAATTACAAAAAAATTTTTAAACAAAATAACGTCTTAAGAAAAAGTAATCAGTTTCCAAAACTACGTGGATATCACAAGTTTCTGAGAGAATGCTGAAGGTTGCCAGTAAGCAAACGGAACTGGCCCGGCTGGTGTGGCTCAGGGGTTGAGCATCGGTCTATTAACCAGGAGGTCACGGTTCGATTCCGGTCAGGGCACAGGCCCAGGTTGTGGGCTCCATCCCCAGTGTGGGGCGTGCAGGAGGCGGCCGGTCCATGATTCTCTCTCATCATGGATGTTTCTCTCTCTCTTTCCCTCTCCCTTCCTCTCTGACATCAATAAAAATATATTTTTACAGAAAAGGCCCACAGGAGCCACGCAAACAGAGGAGCCAGGCCGGACCCACAGCCCCTGAGGTATGTTCCGGTGAAGAGCGAGGATGGGATGTGTCCTCTCGGTCCGACCCTCCCTCCGCCCTGCGCCCCAGGTCCCCACGCGGCTCCTCCGCCCTGCGCCCCGGGCCCCCGCAGCTCCTCCGCCCTGCGCCCCGGGTCCCCACGCGGCTCCTCCGCCCTGCGCCCCGGGTCCCCACGCGGCTCCTCCGCCCTGCGCCCCGGGTCCCCACGCGGCTCCTCCGCCCTGCGCCCCGGGTCCCCACGCGGCTCCTCCGCCCTGCGCCCCGGGTCCCCACGCGGCTCCTCGCCCTGCGCCCACGGGTCCCCACGCGGCTCCTCCGCCCTGCGCCCCAGGTCCCCGCAGCTCCTCCGGCCTGCGCCCCGGGCCCCCGCAGCTCTCCGCCCTGCGCCCCGGGTCCCCACGCGGCTCCTCCGCCCTGCGCCCCGGGTCCCCACGCGGCTCCTCCGCCCTGCGCCCCAGGTCCCCGCGGCTCCTCCGCCCTGCGCCCCAGGCCCCCGACGCGGCTCCTCCGCCCTGCGCCCCACGCCCCAGCGGCTCCTCCGCCCTGCGCCCCAGGTCCCCGACAGGGCTCCTCCGCCCTGCGCCCCGGGTCCCCACGCGGCTCCTCCGCCCTGCGCCCCGGGTCCCCACGCGGCTCCTCCGCCCTGCGCCCCGGGTCCCCACGCGGCTCCTCCGCCCTGCGCCCCGGGTCCCCACGCGGCTCCTCCGCCCTGCGCCCCGGGTCCCCACGCGGCTCCTCCGCCCTGCGCCCCGGGTCCCCACGCGGCTCCTCCGCCCTGCGCCCCGGGTCCCCACGCGGCTCCTCCGCCCTGCGCCCCGGGTCCCCACGCGGCTCCTCCGCCCTGCGCCCCGGGTCCCCACGCGGCTCCTCCGCCCTGCGCCCCGGGTCCCCGCAGCTCCTCCGCCCTGCGCCCCGGGCCCCCGCAGCTCCTCCGCCCTGCGCCCCGGGTCCCCACGCGGCTCCTCCGCCCTGCGCCCGGGTCCCCACGCGGCTCCTCCGCCCTGCGCCCCGGGTCCCCACGCGGCTCCTCCGCCCTGCGCCCCGGGTCCCCACGCGGCTCCTCCGCCCTGCGCCCCAGGCCCCCGCAGCTCCTCCGCCCTGCGCCCCGGGTCCCCACGCGGCTCCTCCGCCCTGCGCCCCGGGTCCCCACGCGGCGCCTCCGCCCTGCGCCCCGGGTCCCCACGCGGCTCCTCCGCCCTGCGCCCCGGGTCCCCACGCGGCTCCTCCGCCCTGCGCCCCAGGTCCCCACGCGGCTCCTCCGCCCTGCGCCCCAGGCCCCCGCCGCTCCTCCGCCCTGCGCCCCGGGTCCCCACGCGGCTCCTCCGCCCTGCGCCCCGGGTCCCCACGCGGCTCCTCCGCCCTGCGCCCCAGGCCCCCGCCGCGGCTCCTCCGGCCGGTCCCCCGGGTCGCGGCACGGCACCTGCTCGGTGAGGAAGGACGGCTTGTAGGCGCCGTCGGTGGACTTGTTGCCGGTGCCCCGCATGGACTTCATGTGCGAGACGGCCATGCGCAGGATGGTCAGCTTGTCGGGCTTGCGGGCCAGCGCGCTGCAGGTGGGCACCATGTCCGACAGCTCCGTGATGTACTGCGTCATCTTGTTCCGCCGCCGCCGCTCGATCTCACTGTGGTTCTCTCTTCCCAGCAGGAGGCGGGCGGGGGGCGGGGGAGAGAGAAGCGTCAGACCGGGCGGGGGCCGGGCCGCAGGGGGGCACGGGGGCCGTGGGTGCCACCAAGGGGCCGGGCAGGGGAGGTCGTCCCTGAACACACACTGGGCGAGCGGCCCCCGACACCCGAGAGAGCTTTGTGGGGGTCTCTGGGGGGCACAGGCTCCCTGACACCCGAGTGAGCTTTGTGGGGGTCTCTGGGGGGGCATAGGCTCCCCGACACCCGAGAGAGCTTTGTGGCGGTCTCTGGGGGGGCACAGGCTCCCCATCACCCGAGAGAGCTTTGTGGGGTCTCTGGGGGGGCAGAGGCTCCCTGACACCCGAGAGAGCTTTGTGGGGGTCTCTGGGGGGGCACAGGCTTCCCGACACCCGAGAGAGCTTTCTGGGGGTCTCTGGGGGGGCACAGGCTCCCTGACACCCGAGAGAGCTTTGTGGGGGTCTCTGGGGGGCACAGGCTTCCCGACACCCGAGAGAGCTTTCTGGGGGTCTCGGGGGGGGGGCACAGGCTTCCCGACACCCGAGAGAGCTTTCTGGGGGTCTCGGGGGGGGCACAGGCTCCCCGACACCCGTGAGAGCTTTGTGGGGGTCTCTGAGGGCGTTAGGGGGCACAGGTTCATCTAAATACCCTGAAATCCTTTCACGTTCCCATGAACCTAGCGACTTTGCAGCAGCATCAAGAATTCAGACACTGTCCCTGCAGCTGGCGTGGCTCAGCGGTTTGAGCCTCGACCTCTGAACCAGGAGGTCCCGGGTTCGATTCCCGGTCAGGGCACAGGCCCGGGTTGCAGGCTCCATCCCCAGTGGGGGGCGTGCAGGAGGCAGCCGATCCATGATTCTCTCTCGTCATGGATGTGTCTCTCTCTCTCCCTCTCCCTTCCTCTCTGAGATCAATTTTTAAAAAAAGAATTCCCTTCTCCTGGCAGGAGGCAGCCGGAAGCTGACTCCACGCCCCTCACCCAGGCAGCAGCCACGGCCACGGCAAAGCCACCCAATGTGGGGCGGCCTCAGGCGTGTCCCCAACTCTGAGCAGCTCCATCAACTACCCCACAGGCCAGAGCAAGGTGGCCCCGGCTCCTGCAAACTCAACCTTGGGAAGCCCGTCCGTCTTTCTCTCTCTCATTTTTTTAAAATATTTTTTTATTGATCTCAGAGAGGAAGGGAGAGGAAGAGAGAGACAGAAACATCCGCGATGAGAGGGAATCACGGATCGGCTGCCTCCTGCACGCCCCACACTGGGGATCGAGCCCACCACCCGGGCCTGTGCCCTGACCGGGAATCGAACCCGGGACCTTTCAGTCCGCAGGCCGGTGCTCTATCCACTGAGCCACACCGGCCGGCGCTCTCTCTCTCTCTCTCTCTCTCTCCCTGTGGGGGGTAAGCAGAAGCCACGCTGTGGCACAGACTCTGACAGGCTTGGGGGGGAGGGGCTGGGAGTCCGGGCGTCCTGCCCGCCCTGTGCGGACCTCACACAGCAGCTCCGGGTCACCCCGCGGGGCTACCTCGTCCCCGACACCAACCCCGCAGGCCAAACATCGCCCCCCGCGTCCCCTCCTCCTCCTGTCCCTGGGCCCCCGCAGCCGGCGCGTCCTGCGAGGAGGGAACACGCCCGCTCCGGAACGTTCTCTCCGCGGGGGCGCTGGACCCAGGGGCCCTGAGAGCCACTGTCTGGTCATCTCGGGGGGCCGGGGGAGGCGTCACCCAAAAGGCACGGTCAGGCCCGGCCGGGGGGCTCCGTGGGTTGGAGCGTCCGTCATCCCGGGCCCCCGGGGGTCATGGGTTCAATTCCCGGCCAGGGCCCATGCCTGGGTTTGGGGTGTGGTCCCCCCGCCAACCAGGGCAAATGCAGGAGGCAAACGAACAGCGTCTCTCTCATCGATGTCTCTCTCTCTCCCCCTTCCACTCTCTCTAATAACCAGGATTATTATTATCATCTAATATGAGGATTAACAAAAAGAAGAGAAACCCACTTAACGTGGACAGTCACCGTTTTGAAAAAGCCACCAGAGCGAGCCGCGTGTCACTGAGCCGTGGGGTGTCCGGGGCGGGGGGGGGGGGGGGGACGTGGCGCGGCCGCTGCCCGTGTCCTGTCACCGGCCCCGAACGAGGGGCGGGCGTGGGGTCCCACCGCGGGCAGTGGCCCCGTCGGGGTCGAAGGACATTTAAATCGCGGGGGGCGTGCGGGAGGCAGCGGGCCACGATCCTCTCCCATCGTGACGTTTCTCTCCGCCTCTCGCTCCCTTCCCCTCTGACAGCAACAAAAATAAGTATTTTTTAAAAGGACGCTTCAATCCGTGTGCGTCCCCAGGAGGGGCTGGCCGGCCGCCGGCTTCTCCAAGTTCCGTGAACTCACCTGGAGAATTTGCTGGGGCCTTCGCCGTCTTCATCATCAAAGTCCATCCTGAAAAGACAAAGGTCACAGGTGAGCCAGGTCACGGGTGTGCAAGGTCACAAGGTCACAGGTGCGCAAGGTCACAGATTAGAGGTCACAGGTGTGCAAGGTGACAAGTGAGCAAGGTCACAGGTGCACAAGGTCACAGGTGAGCGAGGTCACAGGTGAGCAAGGCTACGGGTAAGCAAGGTGACCGGTGCGCAAGGTCACGGGTGAGAAATGTCACAGGTGCGCAAGGTCACGGGTGAGAAATGTCACAGGTGCGCAAGGTCACGGGTGAGAAATGTCACAGGTGCGCAAGGTCACGGGTGAGAAATGTCACAGGTGCGCAAGGTCACGGGTGAGAAATGTCACAGGTGCGCAAGGTCACGGGTGAGAAATGTCACAGGTGCGCAAGGTCACGGGTGAGAAATGTCACAGGTGCGCAAGGTCACGGGTGAGAATGTCACAGGTGCGCAAGGTCACGGGTGAGAAATGTCACAGGTGTGCAAGGTCACGGGTGAGAATGTCAAGGTGTGCAAGGTCACGGGTGAGAAATGTCACAGGTGCGCAAGGTCACGGGTGAGAAATGTCACAGGTGTGCAAGGTCACAGGTGAACAAGGTCACAGGTGCGCAAGGTCACAGGTGAACAAGGTCACAGGTGAGCTCCCTAACAGGTGGCACTTTTAATGGCGACAGGAGCAGCGGGCACAGAGGGGGCTACGTGGCCTCAGACACACGCTGTCCAACCGTCCCCACCCGCCCCAGAGCAGGAAACGGTCTCTCTCCGACCATCACACGGGTTCCAGACAAGAAAAGGTCAAATTCAAGGTCACCCGGTGAGCAGCGTTCATTCCAGGGCCGGGGCCGTGTGCAACCGTGAAGGAGTCCCTACCAGAATCCCACGCGGGCTGCGCGGACGCTTCGGGCGGTGCCAGAGGGTCCACGCTCCCGTCCCCCCCCATCGTGGGGGCGCTGCCCCCCGCATCACTAATTCTGCAGCGAGATTTCCCTTTTTACTGAACTCTGTGCGCACTCACAGGACACACACCCAAGGGGCCCGGCCGGCGTGGCTCCGTGGCTGAGCGTCGATCCAGGAACCAGGAGGTCCCGGGTTCGATTCCCGGTCAGGGCACAGGCCCGGGTTGCGGGCTCGATCCCCAGGGTGGGGCGTGCAGGAGGCAGACGGTCCGTGACTCTCTCTCATCGTGGATGTTTCTCTCTCTCTCCCTCTCCCTTCCTCTCTGACATCAATAAAAGTATTTTTATTTTTTAAACGAAAGAAGACCACAGACACCGCAGAGCTGCCCGGGAGGGACAGACGTGCCCCCGACCACGCAGCTGGGCATCCGGCACCAGCGGGGAGCGGCCGAGAGCCCGGCGATGGGAGAGCAGGCCGGACGCAGGACGTCCCCAGGGAGGCAGGGCCAGCAGGGCCAGCCAGCCGCGGAGCCACACCGCCACCTGGCGTCCCTGCCGGGAACGGCCACAAACATTTCAGGGTCCAGGGAAAAAAAGACTGAATTCTCAAAACTCCTAAAAGGATGGTGGGGGGGGGGGGCGCCAAGCACTGAGGCCAAACCTCAAGCGGGTGTGGGAGGCACGGTTATCTTTAAAATGCCTTTGAGCTCGCCCCGGCTGGTGTGGCTCCGTGGATAGAGCGTCGGCCTGTGGACCTAAGGGTCCCGGGTTCGATTCCGGTCAGGGCACATGCCCGGGTTGCGGGCTCCATCCCCTGTAGGGGGCGTGCAGGAGGCAGCCGATCCATGATCCTCTCTCATCATGGATGTTTCTATCTCTCTCTCCCTCTTCCTTCCTCTCTGACATCAATAAAAATATATTTAAATAAAAATAAATAAAATGCCTCTGAGCTCTCCCCAGATGGTATGGCTCAGTGGATAGAGTGTCGGCCTGCGGACCAAAGGGTCCCGGGTTCGATTCCAGTCAAGGGCACGGACCTCAGCTGCAGGCTCCTCCCCGGCCAGGGCCCTGGTCGGGGCGCGTGCAGGAGGCAACCCATCCATGTGTCTCTCTCACATCGATGTTTCTGTCTCTCCCTCTCCCTAAGAATCAATGAAAAAATATCCTCGGGGGAGGGTTTAACATCTATACTAATAAAAGGGTAATATGCTAATTAGACCAAACGTCTTCCAGATGTCCTTCCAGACCAAGCCACGTTAGCAGAGGCCGAGGCAGAGGCAGTTAGGGGTGATCAGGCCGGCAGGGGAGAGCGGTTAGGGGCGGTCAGGCCGGCAGGGGAGAGCGGTTAGGGGCGATCAGGCAGGCAGGGGAGGGCGGTTAGGGGCGGTCAGGCCGGCAGGGGAGGGCGGTTAGGGGCGATCAGGCCGGCAGGGGAGGGCGGTTAGGGGCGGTCAGGCAGGCAGGGGAGGGCGGTTAGGGGCGATCAGGCAGGCAGGGGAGGGCGGTTAGGGGCGATCAGGCAGGCAGGGGAGGGCGGTTAGGGGTGATCAGGCCGGCAGGGGAGAGCGGTTAGGGGCGGTCAGGCCGGCAGGGGAGGGCGGTTAGGGGCGATCAGGCAGGCAGGGGAGGGCGGTTAGGGGCGATCAGGCAGGCAGGGGAGGGCGGTTAGGGGCGATCAGGCCGGCAGGGGAGGGCGGTTAGGGGCGATCAGGCAGGCAGGGGAGGGCGGTTAGGGGCGATCAGGCCGGCAGGGCAGGGCGGTTAGGGGCGATCAGGCCGGCAGGGCAGGGCGGTTAGGGGCGATCAGGCCGGCAGGGGAGGGCGGTTAGGGGCGATCAGGCCGGCAGGGGAGGGCGGTTAGGGGCGAACAGGCCGGCAGGGCAGGGCGGTTAGGGGCGATCAGGCCGGCAGGGCAGGGCGGTTAGGGGCGATCAGGCCGGCAGGGGAGGGCGGTTAGGGGCGATCAGGCCGGCAGGGGAGAGCGGTTAGGGGCGATCAGGCCGGCAGGGGAGGGCGGTTAGGGGCGATCAGGCCGGCAGGGGAGGGCGGTTAGGGGCGATCAGGCCGGCAGGGGAGGGCGGTTAGGGGCGATCAGGCCAGCAGGGGAGAGCGGTTAGGGGTGAACAGGTGAGCGGTTAGGAGCCAGCAGTCCCAGATTGTGAGAGGGATGTCTGACTGCCAGTTTGGGCCCGATCCTGCAGGATGTCCGACTCCTGGATTTGACAGGGTGCAGGCCGGGCTGAGGGACACCCCCCCCCAGCCCCGGTGCACGAATTTTGTGTACTGGGCCTCTAGTAAATAAATAAACCAGGGACCACAAGACTGTGCCTCCCACCTGCACGTATGATCACACATGTGGGCAGCCATCAGATTTGGTCACCGGAACAGCATGACATGGGACAAGCCCAGGACAGACAGCAGGACACAGGCTGTTCACGTCCACAGGCTGACCACCCCCTCCCCCCCGGGACCCCACACACCTCACCGCTCATCGGCAGCACAGAAAAAATCGCAAGTCCTGAGGACACAGTACCTCCCACTTTTTAAAAGATATAGATATATATTGATTTCAGAGAGAGGACGGGAGGGGGGTGGAGAGAGAGAGACATCCATGATGAGAGAGAATCACGGACAGGGTGCCTCCTGCACGCCCCACACTGGGGATGGAGCCCGCCACCCGGGCATGTGCCCTGACCGGCAATCGAACCCGGGACCTCCTGGTTCCTAGGAGGATGCTCAATCACTGAGCCACGCCGGCCGGGCTGAGCAAAGACTCTTGCAGCCCAAGCAGCTGGAGCTGGGGGGGCGGGGGAGCTGGATGGGGAGCCCCCCCCCCCGGGGGAGATCACAGAGCTCACTCTACCCCCCCAGACCAGCAAACAGCCGTTCCAGCTGCGAGCTGCAGCCCAAACCACGGGAGGCCCATCTCCCGCGGCGTCAGGACCTTGCAACAGCGACGCAGGAGGCCAACCGCCGGGCGTTCCGTCTCCGGGGCCCCGGACGCAGTGTGTCCCTCACGGGCCCAGCGAGCAGCGCGACACGCAGGGAGCCCGGTGCCGACCCGCCGGGCGAGGCTGCTTACCCGGAACGCCGCTTCCCTCCGCGGGCGGGCACGGCCCCGGCCATCCGCACCTGTCCAGCGGCCGCCATGGGCGCCACGGGCAGCGGCACCGATCCCGGCAGGTCTGAGGCCATTTCTGGAATTCGGCAAAGAGGAGAGAAGGTTCTGTCAGTCCCGGGAAAGCAAGGGGGTGGCCCGAGGGCCCGGGAGCACCCCCCGGGGACGAGAGCCCCAGGACCCGGGTGGGGGGGCTGCCCTGATGTGTCACTTAGGGGACTCCATTTCTGCCCTCTGGAAAAGGGCACCCCCCCAAGTGGTTCATCCGCGGTTGAGCATCGACCTAGAAACCAGGAGGTCAGGGTTCGATTCCCGGTCAGGGCACAGGCCCGGGTTGTGGGCTCCATCCCCAGTGCGGGGCGTGCAGGAGGCAGCCGGTCCGTGATTCTCTCTCATCGTGGATGTTTCTTTTTTTAAATATATTTTTTTATTGATTTCAGAGAGGCAGGGAAAGGGAGAGAGACAGAAACATCAATGATGAGAGAGAATCATCCATCGGCCGCCTCCTGCACACCCTGCACTGGGGACCGAGCCAGCAACCCGGGCCTGTGCCCTGAGCGGGAATCGAACCCTGACCTCCTGGTTCCTAGGTCCACGCTCAGCCACTGAGCCACGCCGGCCGGGCACATGGACGTATATTAAAGCCACTACCTCACGCCTGCCTCTGCATTCAGGAGAGCTCAGGCTGGAAGAGACACCCTTCCCAAGGGCCCTGCCTGGAAATTAGAACTGGCCGTAGCCTGTTCTCCCAGCGAGGGAAGCCCACGACCCTCCCCCTGCCCCCTCCCCTGCCCCTGCCCCCTCCCCTGCCCCTGCCCCCTCCCCTGCCCCCTGCCCCCTGCCCCCTCCCCTGCCCCCTGCCCCCTCCCCCTGCCCCTGGCCCCTCCCCCTGCCCCTGCCCCCAGCAGCTGAGGGCTGACCACACGTGAAAGGAGACGGACATGAACGCATTCTGCTGACCAGATGGCCCCATGTCAACACCCTACCCACCCCAGACAGGAACCGAATTCCCAGGGGAACCAGAGAGCACCTGCCGGGCGGAGCAAGGTCACAGGGAGATAAGGTCACAGGGGAGCAAGGTCACAGGGAGATAAGGTCACAGGGGAGCAAGGTCACAGGGAGATAAGGTCACAGGGGAGCAAGGTCACAGGGAGATAAGGTCACAGGGGAGCAAGGTCACAGGGAGATAAGGTCACAGGGGAGCAAGGTCACAGGGAGATAAGGTCACAGGGGAGCAAGGTCACAGGGAGATAAGGTCACAGGGAGCAAGGTCCAGTCACAGGGGAGCAAGGTCACAGGGAGATAAGGTCACAGGGGAGCAAGGTCACAGGAGATAAGGTCACAGGGGAGCAAGGTCACAGGGAGATAAGGTCACAGGGGAGCAAGGTCACAGGGAGATAAGGTCACAGGGGAGCAAGGTCACAGGGAGATAAGGTCACAGGGGAGCAAGGTCACAGGAAGGGGCAAGATCATGGGGGAGGGACAAGGTCCCAGGGCCCCCTCGGTCTCACGGGGAGGTCTCCCCACGGCCCGTTCTCCCTGCAGCCCTCTGCCCTCAGGCCTCTGTCCTGTCCCCCCAGCAGGGAGCTGACATCGTCACAGGGGTCACTTCCTGTGAAGGCAAACACTCCCTTCCCTGCCCCCCGCTCTACGGGTGTGGCTCCCCCGTGCCAGCCCCCCAGCCCCATCTCCAGCGTCCTCTCCCGGTTTCTCCCCCCCACCCCCGCCCCTGCCCGCCTCACAGCCCCGGGTCAGCTCCCTCCGCACCGGACCGAGGCCCCTCCCGGCCTCCTCAGCTCCATCCTTTCTCGGTGCCGCGGCCCTCCCTCAGGCCCTGGGCACCAGCCCCGTCTCCTCGCCGATTCCCGCGCCCAGGCCCGCCCTCCCCCCTCAGGCCTGCTGTCGCCTCCGAAAGGTCACCCTTCCTCCGGCTTCCGCTGCCGGCTGCGCTCAGGGCCTCCGTGGCCTAACGTCCACTCTTTCCCTCCCACGCATTCTCCCCACGGAAGCCAGACTGACCTGACCCTCCAGCCCTTGCTGGTCTCCTCTGCGGCTACTCTTCTCTCTCAGCACCAACGGGGGCAGGGGGGTCCCTGCCATGATCCCCCATTTCTCGTGTGGTCAGGCTACACCGCCTGGGACACACCAGTCCCTCCCGCCCCAGGGCCTTTGCACGTGCTATGTCCTGGGGCAACAAAGCTCCCTTCCCTCTCTTCACCAAATTAACTTCCTCACAGTGTTTTCAAAATCCTATATAATAAAAGGGTAATATGCAAATAGACCGAATGGCAGAACAACCAACCAACCAATCAAAGCGTAATATGCTAATGATATGCTAAGGCTGCTCAAGCGCTTGCTATGACGTGCACTGACCACCAGAGGGCAGACAGTCGACCAGTTGCTATAACGTGCACTGACCACCAGGGGGCAGAGAGTCGACCAGTCGCTATAACGTGCACTGACCACCTGGGGGCAGACAGTCAACTGGTCGACTAGTCGCTATAATGTGCACTGACCACCAGGGGGCAGACAGTTGAATGGCTGACTAGTCGCTATGATGTGCACTGACCACCAGGGGGCAGTCAGTCAACTGGTCGACTAGTCGCTATGATGTGCACTGACCACCAGGGGGCAGACAGTCAACTGGTCGACTAGTCGCTATGATGTGCACTGACCACCAGGGGGCAGACAGTTGAATGGTTGACTAGTTGCTATGATGTGCACTGACCACCAGGGGGCAGACAGTTGAATGGTTGACTAGTCGCTATGATGTGCACTGACCACCTGGGGGCAGACAGTCATCTGGTCGACTAGTCGCTATGATGTGCACTGACCACCAGGGGGCAGACAGTTGAATGGTTGACTAGTCGCTATGATGTGCACTGACCACCAGGGGGCAGACAGTCAGCTGGTCGACTAGTCGCTATGATGTGCACTGACCACCAGGGGGCAGACAGTCAGCTGGTCGACTAGTCGCTATGATGTGCACTGACCACCTGGGGGCAGACAGTCAACTGGTCGACTAGTCGCTATGATGTGCACTGACCACCAGGGGGCAGACAGTTGAATGGTTGACTAGTCGCTATGATGTGCACTGACCACCAGGGGCAGACAGTCAGCTGGTCGACTAGTCGCTATAATGTGCACTGACCACCAGGGGGCAGACAGTCAACTGGTTGACTAGTCGCTATGATGTGCACTGACCACCAGGGGGCAGACAGTTGAATGGTTGACTAGTCGCTATGATGTGCACTGACCACCAGGGGGCAGACAGTCAGCTGGTCGACTAGTCGCTATGATGTGCACTGACCACCAGGGGGCAGACAGTTGAATGGTTGACTAGTCGCTATGACGTGCACTGACCACCAGGGGGCAGACAGTCAACTGGTTGACTAGTCGCTATGACGTGCACTGACCACCAGGGGGCAGACGCTCCAACCAGTAGGTGAGCTTGCTGCTGGGGTCTGGCTGATCGGGACTGAGCGAGATGGCCAGACTCGCCCTGGAGCCCTCCCACAGTCCCTCCCCGGTCTGATCGTACACTGGTGGGGTCCCTCAGCCTGGTCTGCGCCCTCTCGCAATCTGGGGCCCCTCGGGGGATGTCGGGGAGCCGGTTTCAGCCGGATCCCGCAGGCTACTCCCCTTGGTAGGACGCCAGACACAAGGGGCTGGCAAGCGCTGCTGTGACAGCGCGAGCCTCTCCCGTTCGGGACTGATTGGGCGCGAGCCCGCGGCAGGCACAGTGGGGCCGGGATGAGCGGGAGGGGCAGGTGGGAGCTGCAGGCGGCGTTGGGCTGCGGGTTTCAGCCCGATCCCTGCAGGCCGCCCCGAGGGACCCCACCCGTGCACGAATTCGTGCACCGGGCCTCTAGTCCTATATAATAAAAGGCCGGACCATAAGCGTAACAACCGGAATGACCGCTTGACCAGTCGCTATGAGGCGGGGGGCCGGCGAGGGGAACCAGCTGGCTGGCGGCGGCGGCGGCCAGGGACTGGCGGGCGGGCGGAAAATGGCCCTGATCACAGGCTAGGCCCAGGGACCCTAATCGCGCATGACTTCATGCACTGAGCCTCTAGTGCAGGGGTGGGCAACCCCTGGCACGCGTGCCAAACATGGCACGCCGGTAACTTCTGCTGGCACGCGAAACCCTCTCTTATCTCCCATTTACAATTTTCTTCTTTTTTTTTTTTTTTTTTTTTTAATATTTTATTGATTTTTTACAGAGAGGAAGGGAGAGAGATAGAGAGAGTTAGAAACATCGATGAGAGAGAAACATCGATCAGCTGCCTCCTGCACACCTCCCATTGGGGATGTGCCCACAACCCAGGTACATGCCCCCGACCGGAATCGAACCCGGGACCCTTCAGTCCGCAGGCCGACGCTCTATCCACTGAGCCAAACCGGTCTCGGCTACAATTTTCTTCTTAATATCGACTTCTTTATTTTTCAGATAAACTCGGTGCAGGTGCATCTTAGATAAATAAATAATTTTACAGAACATGTAGACGTTAAAAAATAAATGCATTTGTCATCATCATAGACTGTGTTTTGTCGCTGGAATGAATCGTATGATTTCTTCAGGGTTCTTCACATACGTACACCTTAAGAGACAGCAAGCAGGCGTGACATGTTCTCAAAAAATTAGGGTTGGCACACAGGAGAATTCCGAGTCAGAGATTTTGCAGGTTTTGGCACGCACTCGCACAAAGGTTGCCCACCCCTGTTCTAGTGTGTGTGTGTGTGTGTGTGTGTGTGTGTGTGTGTGTATGATGTATATAATATGTATATGTATATGTATATGTATATGTATATGTATATGTATATGTATATGTATATGTATATGTATACGTATATGTATATGTATATATAAAATTTGGCCCTAGCTGGTTTGGTTCAGTGGATAGAGCATCGGCCTGCGGACTGAAGGGTCCCGGGTTCGATTCCCAGTCAAGGACACATGCCCAGATATGGGCTCCATCCCCAGTGGGGGGCGTACAGGAGGCGGCCAATCAATGATTCTCTCTCACCACTGATGTTCCAATCTCTCCCTCTCCCTTCCTCTCTGAAATCAGTAAAAA